TACAATTAAAAAAAAAATAAATAAAAAAAAAGGAACAATACAGCTTTACTGTCAGTTCTACTGTCTGCTACTGGCGCTCCAGGAGTGCGGCTTCTCTCAGCAGTTTTGCCGAGGAAGTCTGCAGAGCTGTATATCAAATGAAAGTGCACAGACTTCCTTCATTTTTAGGTTCAGAACAAATGATACTGGAGGAAGGTAAAACCTATTAAAATATTTGAATAGACATTATATATGTTATATTGACTCTATTGATCTATACAAGCACATATCAGACAGCAGAGTTCCATGCATCTAACTCTTGTATATTTACACATATATATTAATGAATCATTTTTTGTTGTAAAAGCATGCAAACCTCATTGCCAACAACATAGTATGTAATATCTACTTTGTAACCTATAAACTACTCACTGATGTGGCCTGGGAGACAAAGTGCTGCCTCTGCTGGAAGTTGAAGAAATGCCACGTGATTTTCCTGAGAGTAATCTTCAGAGCCTGGGCGTGATATATCAGAGGCACAGGTGTAGGCACAAAATAAAAAAAATAAAATTGACTGCCTAGCCCAAGCCTTCATTACCAGGCAGGATACAAATCCTAGCAAGTAACTTTCCCTCACAGGCAAACATGCTCTCAATAACTTAAGAAGAAAACGAAAAGGAAAGAAGAAAGGCTGCCTTTTTAAGCTAGAATGACTCTGACTTTCCACGGCACATCCCTCAGGCAATAAAATAATTTACAGTACGTTTCAATCAGATATTGGAAACAGCGCTTGCTTAAATCAGCTTGGCTTCACTGGCATTTTAAATATGTGGTGGTTTAGCAGCGGTCCCTGGCTGGGAGGGTGTGAGTCCCCCCTCCCGCATCGCCCCGTCCATCCCGGACGTCCATCCCCTGCCCTCCCGGACCCTCAGCCCCTGATAAGATGGTGTCACCTGACCTGATTTATCATTTACTGCTCTTGTTTTCTGTGGTGCAAATCCTGCCCTGAGAGTAACTAAAGGTTACTCCTTCTCTGTAGCTGACGTAGATTGTTGTCAGAAGAACATTCTTATTGGGTCAATCAAATAAAAAGCGGCTACAAATGCAATAGGAACTGAAGCAGAGGCATCAGTTTTTCATATTTATTCCTGTTGCTAGAGCTGGGAGAGAGAAACTAATTAATTTGCTTAGGCTAGAATGCAAATTGGAGAAACCAAATCAGCAGGTAAAAGTCTCTGCTCAAGGCCACACAGTCAAAATAAATTCACTGAATGGTATGTTTTCTCCTTAACAAATCTTACAATAAAGACCATGATATGATCCGCACCATGAAGAGCAGCTGTCTGCTTTCAAACAAACAAGCAGCCTTGCTGTCATTTCTCTTGATAACTAGAGAGCCTTCATTTTCCATTTTCTAATCCTTAAGACATGAATGTACTTAGGCTAAAAAAATTCATTAAACATTAATATAAAGCCTGTTTTAACTTCAGACTGTTTGCTTCCAAAGATAATTGTTTAAGAGAATGAACTGTATTTCCGTTGCGGCTTTTCCATATATTTTTCAAAAACTAATGCTGGAATTATGAAAGATAAGAATAAGTACAGCAAAGTAAATTAAATCAAATTGCTAAAGCCTTGGGGAAGAGCTAATGTAAATGAATTAAACACATATAAGTTCCAAACAGCTGCGGAGTAAGTTTCCTTCTGAGCATCATTACTCTCAGAAGATGCCTGAGACACTAGCACCTTTGCTAGCTGTGAAGTCACTATCTTGTAAAAACAAAAAACAGAAAAATAAACTGTTAGCTCTGGCTACTGTTATATATTGTAGTTTTTATCATCCCTTTCCTTTTCCATTAAAGTTATTACCTGCAAAAGTGTAACTCTGAAATGAGCAACCAAAGTTAATTTTCTTTTTCTGTCACTGGGTATCATCTGTTCATGGATAGATGGAAGTTCTCTATTTTAAAGACTGTTTTGACCTTAAAGGCAGGGGAAACTTTCATTTAAAAGCTATTTAGAAGGCTAAAGTATCCTATAAGTAAATAAACCAGGGGAAGAAGAAAGAGAGGACTGAATACCAATATATGCTAAAAGTCCTTAAAGTGGAGCTGCCATGGAGAGGTGAACAGAGAATTATTGTTCACTGAATGTGGTGCATCAAATGGAAGCAGCAAAACGAACAAAAGAGGAGGACATTATTGTAAATTGTAGACAAGTTTTGGATGTTCAAACATTAAATGGCCTTATAAGTAATGGGCGAAAATGATAGCAAAATCATCCATTAAAGGCTATTTAACACATCACACACACAGCTTTCAGAAAGTTCCTGTCCCAAAGCTCTCCAGTGCCCTCTGTGCTCTCCCTCTCCCCCGGCACTCAGGACCAGTGGAGGATGCTGGGCCAGGAGGGTCTTCAGCTGGATGCTCTTCGAGCATCCTTATGTTGTATTATTTGATAGGGTAATCTGTGTCCAGCTCAAAGTTGGTGAGAAGTTTGCTTGGATTTCAAGGTATATTATGATGCTGGCTCTGAGGGTAAAGGCAATAGGGCTGAAGAGGCTGCGGGTATGGAATTATCACAGCTGAAATGGAAAGAAAACTTGGAGAGCTTACTTCTCAGGGCAGAGAAATGACTGGACGATAGTAAATATTAGTAAATTTGATTAGTAATTTCTCTGACATTCATTACATATCATGATTTAGAAGGTATTTGGAAAATACAATTGTAAGACAGAGTGCTTTGAGGAAAATATAAGAATCTGTGAAAGGCAGATCAGGCTTGACTAGCTAAACAGCTCTCCCTCAGAGGAAAGCTGAGATCTGGCACGTTTTCTTTTCCAAGAGTAATTTTTATCTTTAAGACAACAATTCTCTGCAAAGCTACTGCCTTGCAAAACTATTAATGAAGCAGAATAAGATGGAGAGATTGTACAGTGAGGGCAGATGAAGGCGCTATTGGGTTGTGTAGGAAGGGCAAACATGAGGCTGGAGAGAGAGACAAGTGGAATTTCTTACTAATTTGTCTTCTCTGATATTTTTTATTCTGTACCTAGGCAGAATGAATAGTCAAGCTGTGATGAAATTTTCTGATGACACAAAATTAGGGGATGTTATCAATGGAAAGAAGGCTTGTGGTATTGAGGATTTAGCATTTCTGGTCTTTTATTTGGAATTCTCTGTGGCTGTACTGCAGCCTGTGTACCAGTTAAGCATCTGGCTTCAAAATTATACAAAGCCATATGACATTTAATCTACAAGGAGGAAGGGTCAGGCTGGGATCAATGGGGTTTTGAATCAGTAGTTTCCATGTCATCTCTTCTTCATCAGTCATTTTTGGGGGAATCTCAGTCAGGGGCAATTGTCCTCAGAGTTAATATCTGCCCTTTCATCATCCTGCACCATTGAGCCCCGTGTCCCACCTCTGATGCTGTTCATCACTTCTGCCTCTCCGCTCACCTTGCTGCCAAATCATGGTAGTCCTCTCCCAGCAATTCTAAACTTGGATCATGATACAAGATAAATGGTGATTATTGCAATGAGCTACAAATACGATACGTAGATGTCATGAGCTCTAAGCAGTGTTGTCTTAATATGACAGTCTCCAAAATTTACCTTAAGTTCAAGTACTCTGTGTTTAGCTGGATTCTCATCTAAGCAAGAGATGGTGAGCAGCAGTACATGTGCAAGTATGGTTCCTAATTAACAGGAGCTGAGGGAATCTGTTTACAGCTTCCATTTTGTAGGGAATGAAATATAAAGAGTCTGAAGGTTATTAGTATCTGTGATGGAGATGATACCAACCAATGAAGAACCGGAGGACAAGATGCTCTTGGAGACATAACGGTAAAAGAGAGCTCCTTCTGAAAGGAGCACGGCGTGGACTCTGTGAAGATCGTTCTCTTGCAGAGCTTGTCAGGGATTTTATATTTTTATGTTTTATGTCTGTAAGACAACTCTTTTAATATGGATGCAAAGATTTCATGTCTCTTACTGGCACAGGAGGCTTTCAGGATTTCTCCTTTCTCACGGGCTAAAAAATGAGCTGTGTTTTTTAAAGAGCCAGAATGTCTTGTCACTCACTGTTTTGCATTCAATTGCAAACACATGCACGTTTTTCATGCACGTTACCTGATCTAAGTAGCTATGCTGACAAGAGCTGAGTGCCAACATTATTCTGTCCAGGTTGCCCTTATTCTTCTGCAATGATTAAGTTATCAAAAGGCAAATTGGAGGGTGAAGTTAGGGTTTTGCATACACTGTATGTTGGCTACATTTTATTTATTTTGTATTTTGCTGGAATCAAAAGTCTGTCAGAGTTTGTAGCTGCAAATCTAAATTATTTAAAATGCAGTTTAATTCAAGTTATGGGAAAACGGCCAATTCTGTGCTTACTGGAATATCATAACTACCACCTGAGTGGATAGAAAATATTAACATATGATTATGTATTTGTTGAAGCCTGAAGGCAGCTGCTGGGATGAGGTGTGGAGGGGTGTCTGTGCTGCTGCATTGATCCATCTTCTGCCACTGCAAAGTTAGGTCCCCTACTGAACGCAGAATTGCTGCCTCGATGCCGTGCCAGGGCCATTGTTGTCTTGTGTGCTTTATCTAAACCGAGTCAAGGCTTCTGTCTCTTTTTCTCCCCCTTCCCCTTCCAGAAAGTCCCGTGTGTCGGGGTCTGTGGTTCCTCTGTGAGGCTCCGGAGGGCTGAGCCTCCTGGGCTGCACAGGCGCAGGACCTCTCGCTGCCTCTCGAGTGATAACGTCGGTCAAGTAGCACGGTATCTTTAAGTACTCCGCAGAAAATGTCAATAAGCAGAATGCAATGCCTTGGATGTGTACGTTTCTGTTACTAGCTGATGGGTATCTATCGAGGTTGTATACTTACCGTTATTGAGTTCCCTGCTGTGGATGCCAGGTCGTGCCGCGGTGCTCTAGCCTTTCAGCAGCGGCTGATTAACTCTGTCGCTCACGCTAATTCGCTCACGAAGCTCCCACTCTCCGCTCTTGTCTCCCGCAGACCCCCCCGCCGTAGAGCCCACCTTCCTGGAGATACGGCAAGGCCAAGGTCGGAGCATCACCATGAGCTGCCGGGTCCTGAGGGCATATCCCACCCGGGTCCTCACCTACGAGTGGCGCCTGGGCAGCAAGCTGCTGCGCACCGGCCAGTTCGACGTCCAGGATTCCACGGAATACACCGTCGGCAGCCTCTCCCGCGACAGCTACGGCATCTACAACTGCAACATCATCAACGAAGCGGGCGCTGGCCGGTGCAGCTTCCTCGTGACAGGTAGGCTCGGCGGCGTCTTGGTGCGGCGAGGCGATGGGCTGAGCGTGCTGCAGGCTCGCGCTGGGTAACGCGAGTCATGCTTCAGCTAACGAATTGCCAACGAGATACATCTTTGGAAGTCGAATCATGGCTTAAGGCAGCTGGTTTGGATTCTGGGGAGGTTGGCAGCAACATAGGAGATTTAGCTTATTTCAGTGGTTTGAGGATAAAGATTTTTATGTGCAAAATGTAAATATCCCTTCTCTGCAGGCATCTGTCAGTACGCTTTTGAGAGGCCTGAGAGAGTCATCAGGCAGCAAATTTCTGCTGTTTGAAGTTTGCAATAAGGCTTGAAATTCCTCTTCTCTTTTGGTACGCTCAGCAAGCTCGGAGACCGGGGTGGGCAGACCACAGTCTCAAGCAACTTCAGGCTACCCAAGTACAGAGGGGTGTTGAAATCTGTTCCTTTTCTCAAAAAGCAAAGGACTTTGTGAAGTTAGCACACAGCATCACAGACTCAGGGAGGATGTGCAACCCCTGCCACGATCTACCCATGTTGTTTAATTAATGCACTGGATTGAGACAAAATGTATGTGTCTTTATCGTTAGTATCTTGGATCTGAATGTTAAACCGGGTGTTTAGACATGCAAGTCTTGATTCTTCCTCTGTTGGAAACCAGTTGCCAAGACTGGAAGACTCAGCTGCCTGATCCTGCAACACCCCATGCCTGCAGCTGACGTTGTGCCCAAGCTGAGGTCCTCTGGTCTCTGGAGTCACATCAGCTGTAGGTTCCCCATCCCTCTAGGCTGGTTGTCCAGGCACTTTTTAGAATCACTGAAGGGAAAAAAAGCATCTCTGTGAAGTGAACCATTTCCTCCCAAGCCCTGCGGTGGGTCAGGACCCCCCTGTTCCTCTGCACCAGCTGGGAGGGGTGTCCAGCCACCCACCTTGTGTGGGCTCTCTCCGGAGGTCAGCACGAGCAGCCCCAGCTTCCCTAAGGATGTCGGAGCAGTAGCCCTATTTCAGCTCAAAATCCCTCCCATCAGCTGCTTGAAAAGGAATGATGGGAAAAGAGACCAACAAAGAAGAAATTCAGAATACGTAGAGGAGAGCTGTCTTAGAAGGAAAGATCCTTCATCTTAGGCGGGATTTTATTAAGTGACTTGGGTCCTGCTACAATCCAATCTAAGTGAGGTTTTGCTTTTGGGGTTGCTGGCAGCCTGCCATTGTTTAGGAAAATGGGCATTATTATTACCTTCACTGCTACCAGCTGAAAGGGCATGGATTTAATGGATGAGCTGCAGAGCACCTCTCAGGGACCCTGTTCTGCACCAAGTCCTAGATATCAGGATAGGCCCTCCACACACATCCGTCCTGGGAATGAAGGAAGCAATTTGATTCAGCTCCCCAGTGTTTTTCATAAAATTTGGTTTTATAGGAAAAAAATGTGGGCCTGCTTTCATGTGGATACTTTTTTTCTTTTTCTTTTGGACTTAGTTGAATGGCATCTCGTTGGCAGGGATTTCATCAGGCCAGCGGCGCAAGGCACAAATGTGGTGGGAACGCAGCGAGCACCCCAATGACTGATGGCTCTGCTTCTTTCAAAATGTAATCAAGCCTTTGGCTGACTTATCATTCACAGCCTGCGTGGAGGTATTTTCACAGCCACTGACTTCTCCAAATCTTTGGAGTTTAATCTAAAAGGTGGCTCTGAAGGAAACCAGAGAAACAGTCTTTTTCCTTAAATAAGTAAATGCAGTTCAATTTACTGTTCATCATGCTTTGGACCCGAGACTGTGGAAACCTATTCTAAGGCAATTATTCTACCAAGACTGGGGCAATCTTAGTGGCTTTCTGTGATTTATTACCGTGCCAAAGCAAGCCACATAACTGAAAATTAGTACTAAAATGGTTTTATGATATACTCGCAGCCCTCTGTGTGCCTTGCTCATTTTTAGTTTGTACCATTATGCGAATTTATGCTGTATGGTTGGGTTAAGGATGCTGAAAGTAACACTTTGACTTTTGTGCTTTCCTCAGTCTTTTAAGTTTAAAACTGACATATTTAGTAAATATATGTTTTGACACGTGGAGCTGAAACTGCTCTCAGGGAAGAGAAGCAGCTGTATTCTGGTCCCAAGTCTCATCAGGACAGATGAAGTTAAAGCACTGGGGAACTGAAAAAGTGTAGAAGAAAAATGACAAAGTGGTTAAAAAGGATGCTTACATTTCACCAGGAATGTGAATACAGAAAAGAAATGGGTCACTTCTTAGATACACACATGGAGAAAAAAGCCAAATAAATAACCTGGTGGCAGAAATCTGGCGGTACTGGAGAGCTTTTCTTTTTGGCGGAATAATGGGAGTTGTAGCTGATTTTTAGTTAGTTTTATTTCCAGGTTTTCATGTAGTAGCGGTGTGCTGCAATGCTTATGTTGCAGGCACTGCAGAGAAGCATTGGTATGCTAAGAGAAAGGTTTTCAGTACAGTATTAAAAGCAGCCTGGATGAAAAGATTTATACTGGCCCTGGAGTTTGAAAAACCTGTTTTTACTGCATTTGTATTTTGAGCCAGATTTGAGAAGATGAAAGCAAAATAAATCACATGAAGAAAAGGGGGTTAATTTATATCAAGTGCACCAGTCTGAGGCAGATTTAACCTGCTACTGTCTTAAAAATAAATAAGAACATACAAGCAGAATTGTATTTGTAGGAAAGCAAAGATGAGTTCATGCTACTCACAGCTTCACTATCTATATATTTTATTCAGTGGTTGATAGTGCATATCATATCCAAAGAGCAACAGAAAGTACGTTTCAGGCAGTGTGTTGTTAAAACCCTGCCAAAGCTGGGAGCAGATAGGAAAAAAAAAAAAAAAATGCACAAAATATCATGAATGGCACAGAAGCCTCCGTGGAGGTGGAGGAAGGACTTGAGTGCTGGAGAAAGAGGCTGGGTGAGTGCAGGGAGGGTCCCCTCTCCCCGGAGAGACTGCTGCTGGTGGTGGGTGCTCCTGGAGGCGCAGACCTCGACCCCTCCCTGGGTCACATCCTGGCTCCTTCCAGCCCAGGCCACCCCAGGGACACCTTTTTCACAGCAACTTGGGTCTCTTCAAGGCAGGGGAGGTTGAACTCTGTATTTTCTAGGTTGCCGGTGTGCAAGAGATTGATGAAGCAAGCCCTCGCGTTGCTGTCAGAAGGGCTGGTGCTACAGCGGGGCTTGTTTAGCAATGTTCTGTGCACCTGGGGAGCTATTTAGGATTAAGATTACCCGTAATTGAGGTTACCTGACAAGTCTTGGCATAACACTTTATCTTTGGTGTCTTATAACTTTGGCAAGTTTTAACCACTTGCATTGAAATTTGCTATGCTGGTGGCTGCCTCAGGCTGACTTGTTCACAAAAATTGCTGTCCCAAAAGGTTTTTTTTAAGTAAGGGAAACAACATTTTGTTTCATCTACGTTAAATTCCTGCAGCTCTTTAATCAATATGTTTAAAAGGGCCAGATACACATCCTTGCACGATTCCTTGCTTAAGTTACATTGGGAAATCTGTCTGTCCATAGTTTATGGAGCTGGCTTGACAATGCTGTATATAATTTGTGAAATACTGTTTAAATTAATAATCATAATACTGGGTAGTACTAAACAAAGCTCTAATGGCATTATGTTGGCGTAGTTACTTTTACCAACTAAGTTCCAGTCCCACCGTTGAGCAATGACGGTTTTGAATATTGTTTTTGTGTTGTTCTGTATTGTGGAAATTTTTCGCCATAAAATAGTGCATTAATTAAGAGCCAATCTTTAATTATTTACTTATCCAGTCTTGCGTCACACCTTCAGTGCTTCTGGCTAAAAAGCAATGTCAAGCCAATCAACTTGTAATTATGTAGGTTATAATTGTTACCTACCAGCATGACCACAGCTTTCCCTTTCTTTGGAGCTTCACTTGGTGTTGCCGAATTAAAGACAGAGCAGAACAAACCTGAGGGCATGCACGTACCCGCCCGTGTCCGCAGTCTAGCTGGGGATGTCCACTCGGTCTGCCTGAGGATCTCCCACCTCCTGCCTTCCTTTCCCCCATGCCTTAGGAAATCGGAATCTCTGGAGCTGGACACTGAATCATCCCTTCTGTATGATCCCAGCATCCATCCCCAGTAGGAGCTGTGTGATTCCTCATGTAGCCTTGTGGGAACATCCTCGCTGGAAACTTGTTCAGAAATTTCTGCCTCAGTGTTTCTTCTTTGCCCTTGGCACCATCCACGGTAGTGCTGTGGTCTGTGCAGCGTCGAGCTGAAATCCTATCAGAATTACCATCCAGCCTTTTGTGAAAGCCGGATGCTTTTGACACAAGGGCATCATCTTAAAATAAATTGCAGACACTTGAAATTGCAGGGTATCGGGTTCTTCTCCATGGGTCTGTTAGCTGAATTAAACAGTGTTCTGCCGTTTAAAGTTTTATAGCTTCATTAATCCGTTTTTTATTAGGGAAGGCCTTTTGCACTGAACTGAGGGACAGAAATGTATATTGTTTGTAGCCTCCCATTTTAAATTTTCTTAGAAACTCTCTGGCATTCATGTAAAGCAACAAGCAAAAATTCTATTTTAGAAAGCTTGTTTGGAAGCAGATGCGTTGTACTCTTTTTACCTGCACAAGCCCATAACATCAGGATTTTGCCAGTGAACTGTTTACAACGGGGGTTTTTTTGCCAGTGTGAAGGCAACTTCCCAAGCAAGTAATTCAGTGCAATTTTCACAAGCTGAACTGGATGTGTGTTGGCTGGAAGACGTGACAATGCCTCTAATGTCAATTCTTTTCCTCACTGCATGGTTGCCCATCGTGGAGCGATTGACCAGTGTCTGGACTGGTGGAGGGACATGCGGGAGCTGTGTGCTGTATTTCTCTTTACGAATGCCTCAAATTCAGCAGTTTTCCTCTCCATTTTTCAGGAACCTGTAGCTATTGTGCCAGACACCAGGGTCATTGTGGCTGGGTAGTCCCTAGCAGTGGTCAAGGGATGCC